TACTCCAACCAACTGAGCCACACTGGCCAGGGAAAGCAAGATACTTACTTTTTAGTTTCACCCTGCTCCTTCTTTTACCACAAGGACATGTAGGCAGAGTGAGAAAAAACTGACTAAATGAACATCAATCCCACTTCTACTGAGAAAAACTGCCCACACAGAAGCTGAAAACACTGTTTATTGTACTTCCCTTAAATGCAATCATGAGTCTTTAAAGAGTAGAGGAAAGTAGGTAAAATTAAAGATAATGGCTAAGGATTATAAAAACTTCCGTGATAACAGTCAAATTTAAATTTAACAGATATTTGACAACTAAAAAATAACTATCAAAGAATCAACCCAAAATAAAAAAAATAAAACCATAAAATGTCTACTCACTGAAATGAAGGCTAAATCTTTCGCCCTAGCTGGTCTGGCTCTGTAAATAGAGCATCGGCCTGCAGACTGAAGGGTCCCAGGTTAGATTCTGGTTAAGGGCATATGCCCGGGTTGTGTGCTTGATCCCCAGTGGGGGATGTGCAGGAGGCAGCCAATCAATGATTCTCGCTCATCATTGATGTTTCTCTCTCCTCCCTTCCTCTCTGAAATCAATACACACACACACACACACATCTATAGTAATAAAAGCATAATATGCTAACTAGACTGATGTCCTTCTGGACATCCTTCCGGACAACCTTCCAGACGAAGCCGCAGCAGTGGGGGCTGAGGCAAAGGTGACCACCACAGCAGGAGGGGGCTGAGGCAGAGGCAGCCACCTTGGTGGTGGGGGCCAAGCCTCTTGCATGAATTTTGTGCATCGGGCCTCTAGTATATATATAAGCCCTAATCGGTTTGGCCCAGTAGATAGAGCAGCAGTGGGCAAACTACAGCCCACGGGCCGGATTCGGCCCGTTTGAAATGAATAAAACTATTGAAAAAAAAGACCGTACCCTTTTATGTAATGATGTTTACTTTGAATTTATATTAGTTCACACAAACACTCCATCCATGCTTTTGTTCCGGCCCTCCGGTCCAGTTTAAGAACCCATTGTGGCCCTCGAGTCAAAAAGTTTGCCCACCCCTGGGATAGAGCATCGGCCTGGGGACTGAAGGGTCCCGCGTTAGATTCTGGTCAAGGGCATGTACCTTGGTTGCCGGCACATCCCCAGTAAAGATTGTGCAGGAGGCAACTGATCGATGTTTCTCTCTCTTCGATGTTTCTAACTCTATCCCTCTCTTTTCCACTCTGTAAAAAATCAATAAAATATATTATTTTAAAAGAGAAAAGAAATTCACCAAAAAAGAAAAATCTTTCAACAGGAATGCCTATCTCATCTTTTATGTTCCTCCTGAGTTCCACCCCTACCCCCCAAAGAAATAATAACTCATTAGCAGACTATGGTGCTGTTACTCTCACAACCTGGCCCTACCTCCTTCTACCCTACCTATCCTTCTATAAACTCAAGGCACTTGGACACACTTAACCATTCAAGATCATTAATACTCATGACTTTGCTGTTCTTTAGCCTGGAATGCACACCTGAAATCTACTTCAAACCTCAGGTTTAAATGTGTAAGTTCCTATACCATCAGGATCCTGTAAGTCTTATTCATCACTACAGCTCTAGCAACTAGAGTACTACTGGCACACAGTAAATGATCAATAAGTTAGTACTGTAAGAATAAAGAGGTGCCACCTGAGTGTTTTGTTGTCTGTGTTTTCTCAAAAGTTCTTCTCTGCCGAAACCGGTTTGGCTCAGTGGACAGAGCGTCGGCCTGTGGACTGAAGGGTCCCGGGTTCGATTCCGGTCAAGGGCATGTACCTGGGTTGGGGGAACATCCCCAGTGGGAGATGCGCAGGAGGCAGCTGATGAATGTTTCTCTCTCATCGATGTTTCTAACTATCTCTCTCTCCCTTCCTCTCTGTAAAAAATCAATAAAATATATTTTTAAAAAAAAGTTCTTCTCACTTTCTATAGTCTCGGCTTTCTACTCAGTTATTATTGTATCTATTTCATATTTACTATTTAATTACAGCTACCCAAGAAACTTTATTTGGCCCCAAACTCTTTCCTAAATAAGAGAATACTGAAATCAGTATGGTTCAAAAGAAAACATACCATTGTACGTTTTTCATCTGTTACAGGTTTTCTCAAGTATTATCAATTCAGTAAACGTGTCCCTAGTTACATGCAGAAAAATTAGAAAATTCTAAAGTGATTTACCAAAGTTACAAACATAGGGTTTAGGTCTCCGGCATATACCAATTCCAAACTTTGAAGACAAAAAGCAAAAACATCTTAATTACCCATATATAAAGATTAGTTTATTTTGAGTACATCAGTCTTGGATAAATCATATAAATCGAAGATCCCAGCAAAATGACTCCTTGAAGAATGACTACACAAGCTCCCAGAAGTTGCTAGTCATATAGTTAGGAGACTTACGCTACCAATGTCACTTATGAAAATAGAAACCTTTGCCCTAGCCAGTTTGGCTCAGTGGATAGAGCATCGGCCTGCGGACCCAACGTCCCAGGTTTCATTATGGTCAAGTGCAAGTACCTAGGTTGCAGGCTCCTCCCCAGCAGACCCTGGTCAGGACCGTGCAGGAGGCAACCAATTGATGTGTTTCTCTCACATCAGTATTTCTCTGTCTTTCCCTCTCTCTTCCACTCTCCCTAAAAATCAATGGGAAAATATCCTCGGGTGAGGATTAACCAAAAAAAGAAAAAGAAAGAAACCTTTAAAGGACATAGGTGCACTCAGTTCTAAGAAAACTGCATTAAATTAAAACTTAAAGCTTAGCCCGCTAGTGTAGCTCAGTGGTTGAGCATCGACCTAGGAACCAGGAGGTCACGTTTCAATTCCTGGTCAGGGCACATGCCCAGGTGTGGGCTCCATCCCCAGTGTGGGGGCGTGCAGGAGGTAGCCGATCAATGATTCTCTCTCATCACTGATGTTTCTATCTCTCTCTTCCTCTGAGATCAATAAATAATATATATTTTTAAAAACACCTAAAGCTTAGTTTATCTTTAATATATCAGTCTTGGATAAATCATGAAGACTTTAACACAACGTATAGTGACACTCTTTGATAAATGCATTTAAGATTAATATGAATAAAAAAAAAGATTAATATGAATTAGTAATACTAAGAGCTACACTGTGAACTTAATATGAAGCTAATTAACAATGAGAAAGTTTCCAGCTCAAAAATCCAGTCCCTCCTATTTTTTCACTAAAAGATGCCAGGAAAAATATTTTTCCCATTAAGAAATCATGTTTAGCTGATGCTCTAGGTATAATTACCATGTTCCTCCCTTTCTAATTTGTATACACCTATTTTCAAGTTTACATCTATAATATTTACATTATGAAAAGGATGCGATTTTAAGTCTTAAGATTATAGTAGTAGCGAAAAGGAATCTAATTTAGAAATGTCTCAAAATATTATTTCTCATTTCATGGAACTGCAAGAAATTTCACTTAAGCTCTTTTTAAAGTAACATACAGATTATCACAGTAAATCTCATCTAGTTTCCTGAATTCAGACTTAATTCATAATTTTACATTTACTGACCATAAAGTACTCAACTAGACATTGTATTAGCCAGGTCACTCTGCCAAAATATTACACTTCCTATAAAAACAAACAAACAAACAAAAAAAAACGTTAGTGCTGTGACTCCTCGGGGCTTCGGATAACAACTATCAATCGCAGGCCTCTAAAAATGACTGTTAACCCAAAAGGCAACGCTCTGCCTGGAAGAACCCAGATTGCCAGGGCCAGCAAAACCACATGAGAAAGTTAAGAACCTCCGTCCTTCGATATCCCAGGAGAAGAGAGGGAGCCATTCAAACGGCTAGGATGTGCCTCACGACACGACACAAGAAAAGACTACGCAAAACTGCCAGGAGAATCTGTCATTACGCGGGCCAACCCTGACACAGCACCATCCGTGGGATCTGCATCCGACTGGATGGGAGAATTCGGAAAGCAAAAGTTCAAGCAAGAAACCAAAAGCACATCCAACCGGGGATAAACCGCTCCAGCTGCGCCACCCGGGAGAACACGTACAGACGCTCACGCCTCCGACCAGGGAGCATCTACTCCGTGACGGCGGAGGGGGCGATCTCCCAGGCAGAACGAGTGACGTGCGGCTGGTGCTTTTGGGGGGGAGGGGGGGGGTTGCTCCGACAGTGCACTGAGGTCGGCGTCAGGAGACATACCGTAGGAAGTGCTACGGGGAAAGGAGAGAACGCCCTGGGAAGAGTCAGGGAAGACGATGATCTTTCACTTGGGGCGCGTCACCTCACATCCTCGCCGGTTTCCTAAATAAAGCTGACAAACGCACCCGAGGACACCCATTTTGGAGACTGACGCATCCCTCCCGTGGACCAGAGGCGTCTGCCGCCGGGAAGAAAGCGCCCGGAGGCAGCCGGCGCCGAGCCCGGGGCAGCCTTTCCTGCCTCCGAGGCGCCCGCAGCCGCGGCGCTCGGGCTGCCTGGCTCGCAGGGGCAGGGGCAGCTGTCGGCGCCAGGCACCGGCCGCGGGGCCGCGGAGTTGGCAGAGCCGCCGCCGCTTCCCCCGCCCGCCCGGGCGCCGGAAAGTTGCGCGAAGGCAACTCCAGGGCCGTAAAGTCGCTCCGCCGCGCGGCCCACGGACTGCGGCACCTCCAGCCTCCTCTCAGGCCCCCGGAGGGAATGCGCCTCGCCCGGGCCCCAAGCGGTCCCGGGAACGGGAGGGGGGCTCGTTCCGCCACCTCGGCCGAGCCGGAGGACAACGGGGTCACCAGCGGCGGGCGAGCGGGCGAGCAACCCCTCTAGGCTGTCCCTACCCGGGCCGCGGCTGCCGCCAAGTCCCGGTGCGAACACCCGGCGCCCGCCAGCGGGCCCGTCACAACCCCGGCGGGCGCCGCAGGTCCCTCACCCGCGCGGCCCGCCACCCTCCGACTCAACCCGGCCCCTCCTCGAGACCCCGGCCAGGCCGCTGCCCTGCGCCCCTTCCCGCCTCACCTGCGCTCCGCGGCGGCGCCGCACCTCCGCGTCCGCTCCGCGCGCCCCGTCGGGGCACGCACCGACCCGGCCGGGACTCTCCGGGCCGCGGCGACTCGGGCCGCGACGGCCACTGCCGCCTTCTCCTCCTCAGCACAGGCCCCGGCGGCGAGCGCAGAGTTGCAGTCAGAGCCCAGCCGGGGCTGAAGGGAATCTCGCCGCCTCCGCAGGGTCCGCCACCACCTAGTCCCAGCACTCGTCCGCGCCGCCCGGAGAAAATGTCACCAGAGGCCGTTCGGCTCGGCGCCTCACTTCCGCCCGGAACCACAGAGCCCGCGGGGTCGGCTAGAGCGGCCGCACCGGCGGGAATCTCCAGGGGCCGGAGCGGGAAGCCGAAGGCAAGCCAGACAGCGCCATCTGGCGGGGAGGAGCGCGCGCTCCTCCCGCTGCAGAGAGCCGGGGGCGCAGTCAGCGGCTTCCCGGGATTTTCCCCCCGCATTTCCCTCCACCTGATTAGGCAGCTCCGTTCCAGAAATCTTTCTTGGAGGTTCGAAAAGCCAGCCAGTACAAACTATAGGCCATACCCTAAGAAAAGGACAGCGCTACCTTTTCCGTGCGCAGCTCCGTACTCACCCCTGCTGAAGCCTTCCTGAGCGAAGCTCGTGGCGTCTGAAAGCTTGAATAACTCCAACAGGGAGCAGCTTTCTCTCCCCACTTTTTCGAGGATGCTCACCTCGGCGCGGGGATACTCGGCTATGCTCTTCTCACGCAGTGCCGTCAACATCCCGTTCAAGTTTCTGGACGGGCCTCACAGATAGACCGCCACCTGCTGGCGATACAGGGTGCGCCAGGGAAACCCGCTCCGCCCACCCCTAGGCGCGCTGCAGACACCCCAAATTCCACCTGGGCACTCCACTGCGGAGTCCAGAGTCACTCTGACTTGCAGTTCTCCCGGGGGAGGGTGGCGCACGGGCGCACAATATGAATTGTCGCGGTCTGAGATGGAAGAAACGTGAGGGACTCGGGACCCGGAGAGAGGGTGAAGAGGGCACAGGCCACCTGGCAGCTACAAGAGGTGCTGGGAACAAACCACACTGTTCAAGTATGGCCAAGAGGCTGAGCTCCCTACAAGCAGGATTTCGAGAGATAAATAAATATGGGGTTTGAGGAGAAAAATGTTAAAGGTATTTACGTTTTCAGGAGCTGTGCTGGGACCTGGTGTGACAGTCCCTGGGAGGAGATTATGAAAACAGGGCGCTGGCCCTATACTCCCATTAGCGTCAGTCTCATCTTTAGACCCAGCCTTTAAGCTCCCCCCAGATCACTTATTTATTCCGACTGCCTGTATGCCTGGGAGTTTTCCATCCCGAACTAAAGGAATAAGCTGATAAAATAATTTTATAATAATAGCTAATGTTCATTGAACGCCTACTATATGCCAGCCACTGGACTATGCATTTCAATGGATTCATTCATTTAACCTTCACACCCCTATGAGTGTGGTGGTATGACTAGCCCATGGTGGCAAAGCTGGAAACTGCAGCACAGAGTGGTAAAGGGACCTGCCCAAGGTCACACATCAGTGGCAAGACTGGACTCCCACGCAGCCCAACTCCAGACCCTGCTTTCTCAACCACTATCACCAGCTGCCTCCTTGAAATTAACTGAGAACGTACTGGGTGCCAGATACACATTGTGTCTATGTAGGTTATTTCACTCATTTGTTTGTTTGTTCATTTATGTATTTATTTATTTCCCTGCTACCTTCCTCCTCCAGGAATTTGAGAGCTTGTGAGTGGTCACAAGAGCCCAGGTTCTTTCAGGAGAAACAGAAAAGAAAATAACTACTCAGATCATAGCTGTCAGTCTTGGAATGAATGAATGAATGAATGTGGACTAGTACATTACATTTTTTTTTTAATATTTTTTATTGATTTTTTACAGAGAGGAAGGGAGAGAGATAGAGAGTTAGAAACATCGATCAGCTGCCTCCTGCACATCTCCCACTGGGGATGTGCCCGCAACCAAGGTACATGCCCTTGACCGGAATCGAACCTGGGACCCTTCAGTCCGCAGGCCGACACTCTATCCACTGAGCCAAACAGGTTTTGGCTGCATTACATTTTAAAACAATTCCTAACAGTCTTATTTTGTCAATGCTATAGAGATACTGATATAGGACCCTGACTACTGATGTACCATCTTGGCTGTTCCTGTTTAATGCCAATAAGTCGATTCCCTATAGTGAGTGGACTGTGCATATTGCTAGAGGATGGTGCATTTGATATCCTACTTATTATCCCTATTACTGCCATATTTAGATAGCTAAAAAGGGCAATTGCTTTCTTCTACCCCCTGTAGGAGTAGAAGGGCTGGACAGCTGATCCTACTGCTGCCTTGGATTTGTCTCCTAGAATCTCCTGTGCATCATATACTCATCTCTCCCAGCTCCTGAAACCCCACCTCCATAAATCAGCCCAGCCCAGCCCTGACACCACCCACATCACCACCACCCTCACCATCCCCCTCCACCCCGTTGCCTCTACAGAAATTTCTGTCAAGTTTCCTCTCCTCACAGGCACTGTCCTACAAATGTCTACCCATTGGCCTCTCTGCAGTATTACGACTGAATCATATTGGTCGTTCTCCTCTCAACTTCTGCTATAAGCCCTGGAGGCCAAGGCCAGGCCTGTCAGCATTATTGTTTGCTCACGATGCACCACCTGGAATGGGTCTGGGCCTGCAGCAGGTGCCTGTTAGAAATGGTGACCTGAGCAGTAGCATCAGAATGTCACTGGCCTTGCTTTGACTCTTCTGTAGTCTGTTCCCTCCTGACCAAGCAGGCTACTTCCACCATTGGCCCCTGTAAGGTAGACACTTATTAGAATCACTCTTTAAATGAGGAAAATGGGGGGAGGGGGGGCCTGAGGAGCAGGCTCTGAGCCACCTCTTCTTTTCCATATCAGATTGCTGAAAACTGGGCTAGCCCTCTCTTGGCATAACCACCCCCTCCCAGCATAACCAGCAGTCACTAGATCTCCCAGCACCTCAATCAGGCAGTTGAATTGGGGCCGGGGACAGGAATGAACCTCTGCACTGAGGTGGCCACATAACCTCAGACAAGTCACCACTTCCAGAGTTAACATTACTTGCTCTGCCTCAGAGCATTACTCCATAGGATTTCATTACGTGCTCATATGGAAGGCCAGCCAGAAGCATTCTAAGGTGCCATGCTCGTCAGGACCAGGGGCTCTGGAATCTGACGGATCTGAATTTGGATCCGGTTCTCCCTCAGTTCCATAGCCTCACGGAGCCTCAGCGTCCTCACCTGTCAAATGCAGCTGACCCCTGATACAACCTCACAGGCTCTCGTGAGAGGCGAGGGTGAAACGAGTCATGTGTGTAAAGCTCTCAGTACAATTCTTGGCTCAGAGAGACTGCTCTATAAACAGGGCCATAATTCTGATGGTGACACTCCAGGCCAGCACTTCCCACAGACACAGACACACTGGTCAAGTACAGGGGCATTACCATCTCAACAGATTCATTTTTCCAGAGCAACAAGTTCAGGTGGAACCAGAATAGAACAGGGCAGAAGGATGTCATGAACGTGGAGCCATTCGGTGGCCAGGGTGATGGGAGGGGCACCTCCCTCCGCTCCCTCCGTCCTCTGGGATGGATAATTGAGGCTCCCCTGTCTTGGGCTCCAAGTCCCTCTTTTCAATCAGGTGATCCTACTAATACTGCTTCTATATTGAAAGTCTATAACCAACTTCTAATAAAAACTGGACATAAAAGCAAAAGACAGTTTTAAACTTTTCAACAAAAATGTATTGGTCTTTCATTTTTCAATGAAAAGAACAGTTCTGTATGACATAACACCCACCTTGTGGGACCTCGGGGATGGGAGGGGCAAGGGCTCCTCAGATACCCCGTCTGAACCAGCAGGCCCACTGCCCATTTGTTCCCTTCACAACACCTGCCTTCCTGTGTACCTGCATGTTCTTCTTCCTTATCCATCTGACACACCAGACCATAGGGGAGGGGCTAGAGCTAGACTGTGTTGTTCTGCTGGGGGGGGGGGGGGGAAGGGGGGGCAGGCACGCAGTACAGGGAAGTGCATGGAGGAAGTCCATCGAAGCATCTAGCTGGGGAGACATAGAAACCTGAAAGGATGTCAAAACAAGGAAATGGTGCCAGGTGCCAAGTTGATGAGTGGCCGGAAGGAGGCAATTGGGGAATGCCTTGGGGAGGACTTGAAGCCTGACGACAGCTGTTTATTAGGAGGAAGAGTCAGGCCATCCTTCCTCGTGGTCCTCTTGACATCCAGCACAGGGCCTGGCAGACAGGACACATTCAGTAAATATGTGTGACTGGAAGAACAAATATGCAGAGAAGCTGACACTAGAGGAAAGGGAAAGAGGTGGAAAAGCCCTTGAGATGTTTGGAGGATGACAACTCAAGGGCAAGGCTGGGCAGCAGCGGACGAGAAGGCCAGCGGGAGGTGGGAAGCTGAATGCGAGGGTAAGGAGTGTGGGCTTCATTTCTTAAGCACTAAAGGGCAAGCAGGTGTGACTTTCTCACCTAGGCTCCTACTGAGTGTTGTAGTCAAGATCAGCAGAAAGCAGTCCCTCCCTGGCCCACTGACAACTTGGAGAGGAAGGAGAGTGATTGACCCCAGGCTGACCGCACCAGGAGGCAGGTGGGCCTCTGGGAGGGGAAAGGGCTAAAACTGAGGACCGCTCAAAGAGAAGAAAGACGGGGAAGCATTAGGAAAGAAGGGAAGTGCCTGCAGCCCTAGGGACCTTCCTTGTGGGTGGCAGAGAGGACACATTCCAAAGGAATACTGTGATTTGGAAGAAAGGACTCAAGGACTTGTAAGCGCTTCAGAGCAGTTGAAACACCAACTTTATGGAGAACATCCCCTGACCTCTACCTTCCCCTCCTCAGCTCTGAAAACTCTGGTATTTAAGTAAGAACAACATCAGGGGATCTGTGATATATATAAAATCTTTGTCCTCACTTCCTGGCACAGAGGACAACCCTTAAAATTTCCTGAGTGATAGAAGTGCCTTCAGTTATTAAGAGACCCCTTTCAACCTGAGTTGATGGTAATGAGGTGATTCTTGGTGGACCCCTAGATGACTTTAGGATG